TGGCTTCAGATCGGCCCAGCTCCAGCCATTGCAGTCATTTGGGGAGTTAACCAGTGGGTGGAAGACCTCTCTGCCTCTGCCTCTCTCTAACTCTGCCTTTCAAATAAATAAGTAAATAAATAAATCTTGTTTAAAAGAAAGAAAGAGAAAGAAAAAAGGAAGGAAGGAAAGGAAGGAAAGGAAGGAGGGAAGAAGGGAAGGAGGGAAGGAGAGAAGGAAGGAAGGAAGGAAGGAAGGAAGGCAGGAAGGAAGGAAGGAAGGAAGGAAGAGAGGAAGGGAGAGAGGAAGGGAGAGAGGAAGGGAGGAAGGGAGGAAGGGAAAGCAAGCAGGCTAGGAGTGAAATTTTAAGGAGCCATATCACTACACATCTTTTTGAGATCAGCCTTCTCACCTATAACGTAATACTTTAAAGGGATTTTGTTAGTGTGGGACCTTTTATGGAGTCAGAACTATATAAGAAGAATACAGATTTTAGGCTGGCACCGCGGCTCAACAGGCTAATCCTCCGCCTAGCGGTGCCGGCACACCAGGTTCTAGTCCCGGTCGGGGCACCGGATTCTGTCCCGGTTGCCCCTCTTCCAGGCCAGCTCTCTGCTGTGGCCCGGGAGTGCAGTGGAGGATGGCCCAAGTGCTTGGGCCCTGCACCCCATGAGAGACCAGGAGAAGCACCTGGCTCCTGCCTTCAGATCAGCGCGATGCACCGGCTGCAGCATGCTGGCCGCAGCGGCCATTGGAGGCTGAACCAACAGCAAAGGAAGACCTTTCTCTCTGTCTCTCTCTCTCTCACTGTCCACTCTGCCTGTCAAAAAAAAAAAAAAAAAAAAGAATACAGATTTAAAAGCCACACATGGCTGAGTTTGAACTTAACTTTGCCATCTACTTGTGAGCTTGAGCAAAGTACATCTTCCCAGATCTGTTTTTCAGTCTGTAGAATGATATGACTAACTTTCTAGCATTCTGATGGTTTTACAAGGCAAAGCTAGTGTGAAGCCACCATACAATTGGTTAGATTGCATTGGTGGTTACAATTTTGAAATATTTACAAGTGTGCTGGGATATATCTATTCCCTTAAGCACTACTGGTGCCCCCCCCCCACCTCTCTGCTGGAACACTCTGGACCTCCCCATGAAGTAGCAGTTAGAGGATGTTTGGCACAGCAAATCCTGGCACAAAAATATCTAGATATCTGGTTGTTTTGATATTTTAAGTTGAGATATCATCCAAAACTTAAGAAGTGTAAGGGAAGTGCCTGGCATATAGCGGGCATTAAATGATATTCATCAAATTTATTCAACCTGAAGAGTCAACCTATGGGTTTAGGTAGGGAATGGCCCTTCCTTGAGTGAAATCCATTTAATTGGGGCATGTATTATTGCAAATCTATATGCTTGCATTTAGGTGAGACTCATAACTTTTCTGCCACCTCCAAGGAGTAGGAATACTGCTATGTATCTATGACAGAATGTACTGGACGAATTAGGATCAAGGTTCTGAGTGGTAGAGCTTTCACTGTGGACAAGCAGAAGGGTTAAGTGGTCAAGCGTCACTGTGGCATGGTGTCCTTTACAAATTCAGACCTCCATGGTAAGGCTCTCTGTGACTATTTGGTATAGTAAGAAAGGTAAAAAACTATTTGGAGGCGCTGGCATTGTGGTGCAGCAGGTTAAGCCACTGCCTGGGACACTGGCATCCCAAGTGGGTGCTGCTTCAAGTCCTGGCTGCTCCACTTCTGATCCAGCTCCCTGCTTCTGTGACTAGGAAAAGCAGCAGAAGATGGCCAAATGTGTGGGCCCTCCTACTCATGTTGGGAGACCTGTGTGGGGCTCCAGGCTCCTGGCTTCAGCCTGGCCCAGCCTTGGCCATCGCGGCCATTTGAGGAGTGAACCTGTGGACTGAAGATCTCTTTCTCCCTCTTTCTGTAACTCTCCCTTTCAAATAAATCAGTAAATCTTTTTTAAATGGATTCTTAAAAAAACTATTAGAGATCTTTAACTCCTTGGCTTGTTTCTCTTTTTGAGTGTTCCAAGGTGTCTGGCCTAGGAGTGCTAGAGATGGGCTCAGGGGATGGAAGGTTCTCCTGGCATCCCTTGACCACACATGGGTGGTAGGAACCCAAAATACTTGAGCCAGCATCTGCTGCCTTCCAGGATGCATTAGCAGGATGCTGCATCAGAAGTGGAGGTGCTGGGGCTTGAACTGACACTCCAGTGTGTGACATAGGCATCACAAGTGGCAGCTTAATGCGCTGTACTGAAATGCCTGTCCTTTTAGTTATTTATTTATTATTTATTTACTTGAAAGACAGAGTTACAGAGAGAAGTATAAACAGAGAGAGAGAGGTCTTCCATCTAATGGTTCACTCCCCGGATAGCTGCAACAGCAGGAGCTATGCCAATCCAAAGCCAGGAGCCAGGAGCTTCTTCCGGTTCTCCCACACAGGTGCAGAGGCCCAAGGACTTGGGCCATCCTCTACTGCTATCCTAGGCCATCGCAGAGAGCTGGATCTGAAGAGGAGCAGCCGCGATTAGAATTGGCGCCCATATGGGATGCCGGCACTTCAGGCCAGGGTGTTAACCCACTGCACCACAGCACTGGCCCCCAGCCCTTTCAATTATTTTAAACTCAAGACCTCAAACAACATTGCCCAGAAGTCTTACTGATTAGTTTTCTTTAGAAAAAAGTTTTACACTCTCAGAAATATATTTTCATACCTTCTCTCCTCAAACATCCTACTCCTCTTCTCCTTACCCTTAGCTGATATTGCCTTTTCTTTACTGAGAAAATAAGTTATCAAACAGGATCTTTTTATCTTCTTCATACTACCATTAAGCTTCAAATTTTCCTCCAACTTTGTCCATCTTGCAAATCCTATTCTTTATGAACATTTTCTTCTTTAAGATTTCTTATGGCATCTAAGCCCTTCTACATGTTTTGGAACCCATTTGATTTCTCTACTCTGGGTTAGCTCTCTCCTTTTCTATCAAACCGTTCCTATGAGCCTCAGTACAAATTTGAGTACTTGTACTGTTCTTTACAAGTACTTGTACAAGTACTTTAGTACTAGTACTAAAACTTGTACTAGTACTAAAACAGTACAAGTTTTAGTACTTGTACACTAAGCTGCTTGTGATAATGTGAAAGTTCTGTGTGTATACTGTTCAATACAATTATCATGATACATGCAATATGTAGTATTACTGAGGAACTGAATTTTAAGTTTTATTTAATGTAATTTAAATAACTGCACATAACTAATGACAACCACATTAGAAAGCATGGCTTCCATCTCATACCCTAAATAAACTTTGCCTGAACTCCTTATATTTTCCAGGCCCCTATCTTTTTCATCCCTCATCTCCTATCCACTCCTTTCCATATAGCTTCAAATTATTTTTTAAAGATTTATTTATTTATTCGAAAGTCAGAGTTACACAGAGAGAGGAGAGGCAGAGAGAGAGAGAGAGAGGCCTTCCATCTGCTGGTTCACTCCCCAACTGGCCACACCGGCAGGAGCTGTGCTGATCCGAAGCTGGAAGCCAGAGCTTCTTCCGGGTCTCCCACGTGGGTGCAGGGGCCCAAGGACTTGGGCCATCTTCTACTGCTTTCCCAGGCCACAGCAGAGAGCTGGATTGGAAGTGGAGCAGCCCGGACTAGAACTGGCGTCCATATGGGATGCCAGCACTGCAGGCGGCGGCTTTACCCGCTATGCCACAGCACAGCAACCTGCTTCAAATTAAAAATAGGGTGGGATCTGCTTTGGGCAAGATCCCTAGCGTTTCCCTTCTGCCAAATCTAATGTATCTCTACTCATCTTTTTCTAAAGATTGATTTATTTGAAACTGACAGAGAGAGAGAGAGGGAGCAAGTGACAGGGAGTGATCTTCCATCTCTAGATTTACTCCCCAAATGGCGGCAAAGGCTAGGGCTGGGCCAGGCAGAAGCCAGGAGTCAGGAGCTTCATCTGGGTGCAACACGGCTGCAAGAGCCTAAGTGTTGGGCCATCTTCAGCTGCTATCCCAGGCCATTAGCAGGGAGCTGGCTTTGGGGAGCAGCGGGGACTCCAACTTGCACTCCAGCAAGGGCGATTTTATCTGCAGGGCCTCCTCCTACCTTTCTGACACTTCCTGCTTAAGCTCCTCCTCTCTCTAGCTGTGAAAGTCCAGGTTTACCAAGTTTTAGTTTTTGGACTCCTTTTTCTCACTCCTTTAAGATTTTTCCCTAATGATGGGACAGGAAAACGAAGTTACAGTACAAGGGCTTCTCACTGCAACTGGAATAAAATCTAAACCCCTTTCCTAAAGGCTCGATCTCCCACGAGCCCAAAGCGTCCCACCTCTTCACCTGCACGGCCCGGGTCTCGCCGGCCTGCTCTCAATTGCTCTACAGCACCAAGCCGGTTCAGGGTTTCTGCACAAGCTGTTTTGTTTGTGGGATGCTCTGTCCTGGTCTGCCTGGGTTTGCTCTTTCTTATCCTTGTCTCGGCTTAAATGTCACGTCTTCAGACTTCGACTGCCGTAACGCAATGATACCTTTCTGGTTTGTTCTCTGTGTGTTGCTTCCGGCTGTCCAGCTGGTGTGTTATTATCCGTGATCTGTTTGTTTAGGTTGGCTGACTCCCCGCAGGAACTGAAACGGCTAGGGAACACAGCAGACAATGGACTTTGCTCTCCCACGTATCACGTCCCAGCCTCTAGCACACGCCCGATTCAGGGAAACCCCTCTCTGGGGAACCCAGGGAACCCTTAAAAGACCACCACAGTGGGAGGACCGGAAAGGGGGCGCTGACTCGGAAGAGGCTCGCGCAGGCGGCGCCGCCGAGGGAGCGGCGGAAAGCCCCGCCCCTTCCGGCCCCGGCGCGCACGCCTAGGCGGCAACGGCGGCGGGGCCGCGGCGGGCGCCGGCTCGGCCCGCCCCTTTCTCCCGCCACCTCTCCGCCCCGCCCCGCCCCTCGCCTCCACCGTGCCGGTCGCTGTCAGCTCCTTCAGTGGAGAAGCGGTGTATGCTGAATCGCTGTCGCCGCCGGCTGCTGCACGTCCTGGGCCTAAGCTTTCCGCTGCTGACCCCTCTTCTCTCCCCTCCCCACCTCATGAAGCCGCTGGTCGTGTTCGTCCTCGGCGGTCCTGGCGCTGGCAAGGGGACGCAGTGCGCCCGTATCGTCGAGGTGAGGCCCGGGCAGCTGGTAGGCTCCTTTGGGCTTGACTTGTCGCGGTCAGGCCTGTCCCGCCGCACCCCTCGGCACTGCAGAACGGGGACTACGAGCCCCGGCGGCCATCGCGGTGCCGCGTGGCAGCGGTCGAGGGGCCGTCGGCGCGTGGCATGCCGGGACTCGTAGTCCGCGTGTGTCCGTCTCGCGGGGGGGAACCGCTTGGGGTCGCTTTGTTACAGCGCCCCCTTTTTCCTAGGTTTTGGGGACCGAGTTCGTCTCCAGAGGGGCTGGGAGAGAGGGCCCTGGAGGGCAGCCTCTGGGAGCCCCCAGCACGCGGAGGCCAGCGTGTCGCCGTCTGTGGTGGGTGGAGGCGGCAGGAGCGCACATTGGGGTTAGAGGCCGTGTGCGCCTGCAGCTGCCGGACGGGGAGACCGGTTTTCCCTCTCCGTAGGCTCACCACTCCTGACGGGGTTTTACCCCAGAAAGGAGCCCCGGGAGCGGAGCGTGGGCCGCTGTCTCGGGCCGGTCCGCGGCAGGCTTTGGGCAGGCGGGCCCTGCGGCCAGCCCAGAGGCTCAGCCTGGGTTCCTACGGTTGGTAAAGCCGACGAGCGGTGTCCTGAGCCGGAGCCTGAACCTGGGGCCCTGCTGCCAACCACACTTGGTCGTTGTCCTTGTCGCTTCCTCTCAGCCTCGGTTGTCCCTTGTGTGATAAAACAAGAGGCTCCGCGTCCAGATTTTCTCGGAACACAGAACCCTTCCAACTTCAGAATCACATCATTTGCTTTTTCTTTGGCTTCGAGGCGTGAGAGGTTACCAGTCGAATTCTGTAAACTGTTTTCATTCTAGAGTGACAGCTACATGGTTAGCCGCTGTGGCTCAGGGAGGAGAAAGGCTCTCTGAACGAGCCGGAGGAGCGTTTGGGAGGGAAGGCAGCCGGCATGCTAGTGAAAGGAGAGGCGCCCGCGGGTGGCATGGAACACTCAGGGGATCGCTGAAGCTCAGTGACCAACGGAAGTTTTTGACCCAGAACTCCTAAAATAATTGCCTGCTCTTCCAGGACAGGGCCTCTGTTAGCGCTGGGCTTTTACTTCGCTTCTGTGTTCATACAACCGACTGCTGCCCTCTGTTCTGTTCCCTAAAGAGCATCCAGAGATGCCGGGATGTCTTCTCAAAGTCATTACTGATTATTTTTAGGAGTGAAAGTGAAATTCGCTCAACACAAAAAGACAATATTTTTCTTATTTTTGTTGATTCTTTTCATTTTTTTAAAAGGCAAATAAAAGGGTGATTTTAAGTAAAAACTTAAAAGACAAAAGTCTTATGTCTGGGCTAACTCTTATATGTAAATAGCATAATAGGGGGAAGAAGCAGATTTTAAAGTCAAATAGATATGCGTTCAAAGAAACAGATGCAAATAATTTTTTACTCTATTTTAAACGTCCTGATCTTTTATTGGCTATTTTTATTTTGAAGTACTGTTAGTTTTTGAAAATTGGTTTATGACTGTGATCTTTGAATACTTTTAAATATTTTGTTTCTGAATTGTAATATATGTTTAAATATCTATACCTAAACTAGCATTTCCATATTACTCCACTGCATTAAAAATAATCTATAATTCTGTAACTAATATTATTATTTGATCAGTAATAGCTGATGATATTTATTAAACCTGTTAAATACCAATTATAAGATTCTGTGATGAAATGCATTCTATAATACATTATGTAAGGTTTCACAATTCTACGAACTTAAGCTGTTTTGTCATTTTCTTTTGTGAAAATACTTGCTCTTGATATCAATTGTTAATAAATGTTATTAACCTGGTAATCAAATAATTCCAAAGAGTGTATAATTTAGCTATAGCTGTCCCCTGCTGATTAAGCACTCAATATCAGTTTAGTCAGAGGTGTTTTTTCCCTTTTTGAATGCCTTGTATTTTGATTCTGTATTTTATTATATAGCCAGTCATAAATTGAATTCCAAAAGAGTATTAATTTTAGAACTAAATTTTTTTCTGCAGGGAGAGAGTTGTATAAATCAGTGTTAAATTCCCCAGCTATCATGCCAAAGCTAATTTAGTTCACAGGGTCTGAAATAGAGTTGCTTCTCTGGGAAAATTAAGTTGATTTCCAACTCAGGCTTCCAGAAATACATCTTTGAGTCCTGGTTACAGAATCGAGTCCTACAGTAAAGCTCAAGAAGGGGAGATGTTGATTACCCTGTTTTGATTCATACATGTTCACATTGTATACATATTGAAATATTACATGTTAGCCTATAAGTGTGTGCAACTGTTGCTAATAAAAAGTTAAATTTGAAAGAACAAACAGACCTGAGGATGTATTGCCCTTTATCATCCGGGATCATTGTAGTTATGGAAAGGGTGTGGTTACAGGGAGGCTGGTGCTTATTTTTTTCTGGAGGCGAATTTACTCTGCTAATTGCTCTCCCAAGATCATGAAGAGAAGGCAAATTGGTTAGAATATCTTTTGAGTGTCCTGAATTGAGAAGGAAAGTTTCAAGAGAGGTTTCGAGGTTGACTTTGCCCATTTATTGGTACTCATCTTTTCCAGTTTTTTGTTAATTTGTTTTTGAAACTTAACCATTTTTCTAAATCAGTATGATACTTTCTGAGTGCTCAGAGTGACTATTGTGTAATAACGTGCTTCTAAAAAATGATGGAGATGCTGTGTCATTTGTCAGACTAAGCTTTGTTTGTGTTTGTTGTTTTGGCCCAGGAGAATTATGGCATCATACTAAAACTTTTCTTTGAAAATAATAATAATAATTTTGGATGTGTTGGAAGGAATATTTAAACCTCTTCTCACTTAAAGATTATGAACATTTTGACAAATTATTACTGAAGCTTGTATCCATGCCAAAGTGCTTTCTGTAGCAACCAGAAAGCACTGTTGTCATTTTGCTGTTGTACCTTCCTCCAGGGCCTGGATGCATTTTGCATGGCCACCATATTTACTGTGCTTAGAAATTTTTAGGTGATATTGACTTCAGGCATGAAGAAACCAGAGGCTTGATTTTATTTATCTTTGTGTCTTCAGTGTTGAACATTGTACTGGGTGCTAGTATGTGCCTAATAAGTACTGTGTGAAGGTTCTTCAAAAACTTTATGGAAAATTAGTTAAAAGTCTATTTTGGTGCCAAATTTTTTTTAATTCATGCATAGTTTTTTCATAACACACGTGTCCCATGAACTTTTCGGAGACTCTTTGTATTCATTAAATTTCTTTTCTGTGTAGTTTTATTTATTTGTGAGGTGGAGAGACAACACAGACACTTTCCCATCTGTTGACTCTACAAATACCCATGCTGTCCTTGGCCTGGTTGGATCAAGGCTGGGGAGTCTCAAACCAGCCTAGGTCTCGCATGTAGGTAGCAGAGAAGCCCGTTTATTTGACCCATTGGCATTAACTTTCAAAGTCTGTGTTAGCAGGAACCCAGAGTCAAGAACTAGAGCTGGGTCTCAAACTCAGTACTCTGATGTGGTATGTGGGCCTCTTAACTGTTAGGGTAGCCTGTGGCGTGATTGGATGAATATTTAGGGAGGACTTTTATTTATCTCAAGATGTAAAAATTTCTAAAATTTGGTCCCCAGAGGGCGCCCAAGTAGCAGTTAACTCTCCCAATTTTAGGACCAGAAGTATGTGGGTAACACCTAGCTTTGTCTTCCCAGGATTCTCATATATTATTTCTGTTTACTCTCGGTGAATAAATGCTCCTCATAACAAATTCCTCAAACAGGTGAGAACTGAGATGAAGTGAGATTGGAAAGAAAATTCACTGGAGATGAAAATCCAGTGTTTAGTGATGGTGTTACAGCACAGTGGGTTATGCCATTACTTGGGATGCCCACATCTCATGTCATATTGCCTGGATTTGAGTAAGTCTCTACTTCTGATCCAGCTTCCTGTTAATGCTCATTCTCTGAGGCAACAGATGATAGGTCAGTGTTAGGGTACCTTCCATCCACAAGGGAGACCTGGGTGAAGTTTCTGGTTCCTGGCTTTGGCCTGCCCCAGCCCCAGTTGTGATGGGCATTTGGGGAGATTTCTATCTCTTTCTGCCTTTTAAATAAATAAATAAACTTTAAAAAAAAATCTAGTTTAAGAATAGGCCTTTTTCCTTTTGGTATGATAGGTTGTGTAATAAGTGTGTTTTGTGTTTGTGTTAAAGCTTAAATTATCTGTAAAAGAGATGGTCCCGAGAATCCTGACTCTTCTGAAGCACCTCTGTTTCATTGAGGGTGCTTATAACAGACTTTGTAATGTTTTTTTTTTTTAAAGATTTTTTTATTTATTTATTTTTTTCATTATTTTTTTTTTGACAGGCAGAGTGGACAGTGAGAGAGAGAGACAGAGAGAAAGGTCTTCCTTTTGCCGTTGGTTCACCCTCCAATGGCTGCCGCGGTCGGCGCGCTGCGGCCGGCGCACCGCGCCGATCCGATGGCAGGAGCCAGGAGCCAGGTGCTTTTCCTGGTCTCCCATGGGGTGCAGGGCCCAAGCACCTGGGCCATCCTCCACTGCACTCCCTGGCCACAGCAGAGAGCTGGCCTGGAAGAGGGGCAACCGGGATAGAATCCGGTGCCCTGACCGGGACCCGGTGTTCCGGCGCCGCTAGGCGGAGGATTAGCCTAGTGAGCCGCGGCGCCGGCCTCAGACTTTGTAATGTTAACAATGTGAAGGAGGGGAGACTATCTTCAGATTATTTACTCTCCTTACTTTTGAGAACATTCTTTTTTGCCTTTCCATTTTAATCATAAAAGTAATACCTGCCTGTTAGAAAAAGTTATATCTCTTCTATTAATTGTTTCCCTATCTCTTTCTCAATATTCTTACAAACAGAATTGTAAATACTTTCTTAATCTCCAAAGGGGGATTATTCTGTGCTTTACTGAAAATATCATGAGTGTATTTTCAGGTTTTTGTCTGTAGATACAATTCATTTTTATAAGTAGTTGCAGAAGATTCTGTAATGTGACTATTACCATAGCTTAG